AATTATCATTTACTAGAAGTCAAATTTTAAATTAAGGCTTTGTGTAACAAACTGCATTCTGCAACTAAGTCGCTAAGGCAGCAGCTAAACTATGTAAGCTAAGAAAGCTACGGATTTGTGACAATTAAATGGAAAATGCTGCTTGAAGAAGAAAGAAAGCAATCCCTGAAGAACTGCTGAAGAGTCCAAAAGAATATCAAGAATGTGAGAAAAGTGCAGAATGACTCAAAATTCGCAACCATAAATCATACCAACGACCAGAAGAGCAGGAGACAAAGCGAAAACCAGAAAATATAACTTTTCAATACGCACGACGTGAACTTAACCTTATCGATAATTTACTGTATAGAATTTAATTTAGTTAGAAAATAAATCGATAATGATTCTGCCAAAGGAAGAACATAAGTTCGGTTAAATGCATATGTAAAATTAGACAAAAATGGGTGCAAGCATTATTCATTCATTTAATGACTTCCATATTGTTCCATTTATGTTACAGAATAGCAACGGCAGCAATTTCAGAATTATTGATTCGATGTTCCCATTCGTCGGCAATCAGGCAAGCTACCGGATTGGATTCAAATGTGAGGCAATGCAAGAATGCAGTATACTCGCATCATCCGGTTGAACAAGTAGCTACATAATGAAAAGAGCTTATTTTGAAAATCTATTCTTGTATTGAAACTAGCTGCTCACACCATCGCAGTTACGATCTCCCAACTTCAAGAAAAATGGTTCAAAAATAACGGCATCTCAGAACGTCATGTTCAGATGCTTTCTGATCCTGGTCACACCAACAATCTTTCAAAGGAGCCCCAAACTCCTACGGTCAATATCCAGCACTCACAATTAAAAGGGAGCGTTTAACCACGTAGAATGACTTGGTATATAAAATAGCCAAAGAACAAATAGTGACCGAGGAAAGAAATCATACCATTCTCAGAAATCACATCTAACATGCCGTAACAATGTATATTGCACAGTGCCATAAGGAAAAGACCACTGAAATTTTAGTAGGTGCTAACTTTAAGTGCCAATTTCGCTAATTTACACATTAAAACATTTGACCTGACTTATGAAAAGATGAATGTGCAATGGTTGAATCGACTTTGGCAGTTACTGTTTCGGTACAAACGGAACAAGAAGCAAGAAGCTAAAGAGCACGCGAAGCTCGCATAGACAATTCTACAGTTATTTTCATGAAGAAAATTACATTTACAATCATAGCTTCATAAGCAAAAAGCTATAGAAAAAAACTGACCAAAGGTGAATCAGTTTTGATGACTGCTAATCGTTTAAGGTCGCCGACGTAGACGCGACAGATTGTCTTCAAGGTTTCCGATCCAGCGATAAACGTATGAGCTTCAGCAGAAGATAACCATGTATGGAGCACAGTCCTTAGAGACACTTGCACGAGGTTATTCCTGGACGGTTGAACAAGTAGTATTTGCTTCGCCTTCTTTTCCGGAAGTGCTCGCAACACGTGTAAAAATTATATCAGCTGTGACCTCAGTCTGGGAAGTAGCGGTCATATAGAAGAACTAACTCGGATATCTGTATGGATAATGCAGAAACGTGTGAGCCCAGAGATTCCTCTTAGAAAGTCCATCTCAGCCACTTGTACTCTGGATCGAAGTTTTCCAATCACGGCTTAAGACTCATGATCATAGGTGAGCAGGGGGATGAAACTCAAATTCAACAGAGAGCACAGTTTCAGAATTCAGTTCTGCATTACTCACAACGACTAGGGCTAGTTCATGCAGAAAACTGCAGGCCAAACGTTTCGAAACGTAGCAATCGACGGTAGCCCAGAGTCAGTCACTTTTAAAAAGTCTACGTTAGGATTATTCCACATCAGTCGTCATCACGTGGACATGTTCACACCTTGATCTGATGTTTCCTGCCAGTTGACAAACGGTGAACTACAGATATTTATTTTGTTAATTTTCGTTTCTGTTCTCCAGAGAGAAGTAGAGCGAAAAAATCACGTACCTTTGAGTGGTGCAGCTTACACCAGCTGTCCATAGACTCAACGATTTCATCTGGTTGGTGGATCACCAAACTAGGTAACTAAATTAAAATTTAGTCAGTAGAAATCATATGAAAATTAGTACTTCTTCGACAACCGATAGTTTCTTGTTGCCTTCAGTGATTATGCAAGCCACTTCCAACAGATAATCACGCTCGATATTCAATCCGGTCATCTAAAAGGAAAGATTAAATTCATAAAATTGTGTTTGTTCAAATAATCAGGATCAAAACAAAACGGGATCAATTTGATGCAGCTTTACAATGAGCTGTGATAAATTTTCAGCACGAAACTGAAATAGAGCAATAATGGATGACTCAAGTAAATGTGAATAAAATTATAACAAGTTTTATTACTATCATTAGAAAGCGTAATTTCAATGGTGGAGGCAGACAAACAGTTTTGCTCAGATCGATATCTGAGAAAATATTAGCAATTGTAAGGTATTCCAACAGATGGACTGAAGATTTCCTGTTGATGGCACTATCTCTGAGTGCCTGCTAAAGCATAGCCATAGAATGACTTATAGTCATCAACGCAAACATACAGCAGCATCTGAAATATTAATCAGGTTAAACAAAGTTAGCCCGATGACAAGACCTCGTTTTCTGAATACTGGTTATACGTGTTGTTTCTAACAGAGTTTAGAATCTTTTGAAAGAAGATACAAATATCTCCTGACTTTCTATCATTCTTACGGAGTATCTTATGTCACGCCTAAAACTGTATGGAATGAAAGAAAATGAGGAGACTTCAACGTTTGTGTGCAATGAATGAGATTTCAATTATACAAATAATTGTAGTCTTTCTATATGAGCGGCAGTGATAGCATTTGCATAAGAGGAACGGATTCAAGCTTGACTGACAATCTCGTGCAGAGAGACATGATAGTCGCGTCCCACAACTATACAAAACTTTTATTACTTATACGTTACCACAAAACAGCTAAAATTTTCAGCAACATAAAGGCTACACCTAAGTTGTAGTTAACCATAATGCAAAGAACGTAACAGGCATCTGATTAAAGCAGACTGTGTAACTATTACACTAATGAACTACAGTTCATAACTGAAGAAAAAAGCATATGAAAATATGAAATAATAATTGACTGAAAAAACGTTAACTGAGAAAAATGGGAGGATGCAATTACTTAGATTATGCTGTTCCTCATATGCGACTTTGGTATCTTTCAGCATAACACGGTAAACGTGTGGTTGAAGGACGCTCTGTTTCGAACGATCCGGGCGAACTTCGCGATTTACGGCTAATGAGCTGATTTTCAACATGCTGTGACCAAGTGTACCGGCAAAAATGTGGCTGACATTTGTCAATTTGCGTAGAAAGTTTTATGCTATCTGAAACAACCAGAGCGGAAAATGGGAGTACTTCTTAACCCTAAGAACAATAGATAGAAACTAGAGTTTACTATTTCACCGTTCCAGACAACTACGCAAACTACCTGTCCAATTTCAATAAGCATCCGTGCTGCCTGTCATTCACCAAATATTTAATTGGAAAACATACATCACGGCCAGGTCTTAAGAGTTATTTCCGAAGCAGTTCTTCATGCTTTTATCATGCAATTTAATAGAGAATCGAGGTTAGAATGTGACTGTCTGTCATCAGAGGAATTCAATCGATCATAGCTTGCAAACTACCATATCGAACCTAACACGGGACGAGCAAGAAAACCACATCGCAAAGTCTAATCGTACATAATGTCGATTCCCATGCGAATGCCAGTCATAAGGAACTGATTTCCGGCTCACGCTGACTGATTCTTCGAGAATCAAAAAGATATCTTCGATAAAAGGATTTGTCCAATGTTGAAGGAGCGCCTCTTATACCAACAATAATGCGCTGTATACTGTGTTCCATAATCACGAACTAAACTTCATCGATGAAGTTATATGCGAGGAAACATCGAACAGTAGTGCAAAGGCGAATCAGGTCATCTAGCCTTACTCTACACCGGAATTTTCTAGTATTTCAAGTACTTTAATGGTTTAGAGAAATGTCAGAAGACGGCTTTTGAATGCTTCTAAATTTTAAACCCGTATAACATAAATCGCATACTTCACAATCTATCCATACAATGCGGTCGGCAGCATTATGAGGCAAAGCTCTCTGAACCTCAAATCCCGTCGAATTCGTCATTTCTACTTCTTTACGTCCACATAAGCGACCAAAGGGTGAGAGCAGTTGAAGCAATTTCGCCACCAAGCTGAAAAATCGGTGTTCAGATT